AGTTTCAAGCAATTACTGACACACTCAATACAATATGCTAGCTGCTTGGATACCTACCACTGAGTCACATCATGAAAACTGATGATCTTATGGCAATCCAATACTACTCTCTGTTGAACCTTCTAGGTTCTGATTGCTATGGATTAAATTCATTATAAATAGTTTCCCTGAATGCATTTGGCTAAGAATAGAAACAGACCATAGATTTGAAGTGTTTTAGATGGCTTCTGAATCCTCATAGATAATGTTATTAAGAATTATGGGATGCAAATAATAACCTTCCAGAATTAAAATAAGCAGATGCAAATGTCTTCCTGTGTCATCTTTTCCAGTTTTCCTATGGTACAAATGAAACTCTGCCACTTAGTCTGTTCATTAAAACGGATGAGGTCAAGATTGACAGTAAACTAATGGGTAAGTATGAATTATGGGGCTCGGGGAGTGAAATTACGGTAAATTGAGATTTATTCCCATAATACAGGCAGTCCCCGGGTTACGTACAAGATAGGGACTGTAGGTTTGTTCTTAAGTTGAATTTGTATGTAAGTCGGAACTGGTACATATTGTAGGGGAAACTCTAGCCAAACATTTCTCCAGAGCTCAGTTTTATTCTCTCACACCTCACTTCCCTCAGTCCTTTATTCTCAAGCTGAGGTGTCTGCTGAGAAAAGCCGCTCCGCGTCTCCCTGGTCTGCTGGGGGGAAGCAGCTAGTGCGGGGTTGCCTCACCCCGTTTGTAAGTAGGGATCTGATGTAAGTCGGATCCATGTAACCCGGGGACTGCCTGTACATTTTATCTTCATGAATCCACAAATGTTACCTTCTCAAATTTTACTGATTTTAGTAAATAACTTCATTAAATCTAGCAAGGATTATGCATGAATTGTTTGATTCTGCTGGGAAATAGGGATGTCATGACTACATGGTTAACCAATAAGCCTGGGTTTAATCCTGTCAACTACATGCACCTTCCCTCCCCCCCACTGCCTCTGTATCAGCCTCACTAAGGGCAGAGGCTGCTCTGTGAGGTGCCAGCCCAGTCTCTGTCAGCAGGGAGCTCAGGCCCCCGCAGACAGGGGTTGCTGCTGCCCTGCTGCCTCTAAACCAACTCCCGCATGCCAACTCTCATTGCTGCCTCTGACACAGAGGCAGCAGCAGTGTGGCAGGGGCTCCCCAGGAGTTGGGCCAGGAAACTGACGGGCGGCAGACTTGGGGAAGCGGTGGGTAGAGCAGCTGGGGTGCTGCCAATTGGTACGGGAGCACCGCCCCTCACCTCGCCCCCTCTCCTCCACCGCCGCTTGCAGCCCCAGCTGGCCTGTAGCAGGTAGCTACGTGGGGCTTTCCCCCGCATCACTGCAAAACGGTGGAGGGTTCGCCCCTCGCCGCCCTGTTCCCAGCTGACCCCGCCCCTCAGCTGGCCCCAGTGCAGGTCCAGGCAGACCCGTCACAAGAGTATAATCCCCTTTCCCTTCCTCCCCTTTCCTTTCCCGGCCTTTGAGCGTGCGTGGGGCTCACAAGAGCTCTAGTTGTCCGGCTGGCTGGAGCACTTATGGGTTCCAGTTGGTGCCAGACTATCACGAGTGCCGGAAAATTGGAGTTTTACTGTACATGCTATCTGACATCCCTACTCTGAAAAGCAACTCTCTTTAAAAATGGTATTATGAAATGTCATTGTTAAGCTCAGTGATTTGATAGCAAACTTACTCTCTTCACAGGTAAAAAGGTGAGTTTTCTTAATGCCATATCTACAAACCTCACTTAATTGTCATAATCAATGATAGATTCTGTAGTCTTCTGTTTGGTTTATATTGAGAAATCCAGAAAAGTATTCATTTTGCCTTAATCTTAGTACTTTTGTGTGCCATAGAATTAAGGTATGAAAAATGTGTTACTGCACAAATAAAAAGTCATAATCCCTGCCATAAATTGCTTATTTATTTATGTATTTCAATTTATAATGACATAAAACATTTGAATTAAGTTTATGATCCTGGTCCTGTAAGCTATTGTATGCTGGCAGAGCCCCAGTGAAAACAGTTAAGTATCTCCTACATAACAATTCTTAAGATTAAGGTCTTGTAAACATACCGTTATAGTGCTTGTTACTGTGAGTTGAATGAGACCAATCTCACTCATAAATAATGTCCCCATGTACATAAAAATCTTGTTTTAGAGGGATTTCCCTGTGTTGCCTCTGCAAGGCTGAGAGCACTTTTTAACTTTTGCCATTTCTTCTTTTACGGGTAAGTCACATTGTAATGGTGCAGCATCAGTAGTTCCATTCCAAAAAATTGTGAAGTTATAAATCGAGAATCTTCTAGAATCTCGTGGGGAGGGAGGAAGGAATAACCAGAAAAAAAGAAAGGGGGAGAGGAAGCAGTGATATTATTAAAGGAAAGCTCTTTTTCAAATACAGATCTATAATGATCACAAAGAGAAGGCTGACGATTTAGCCAAAATGCCTTTTTTCTTTTTTGTTTGAATGTTTTTTTTATCCAAATTCTCCCTTGCTTTAAAATTTCCTTAATATGTGAAGTCCATAGAATAATGGTCTTTAAACATCATACTGCACCTTGAAAGGAACTGACTTTGGAGGAATGGACTTTGTTCAGTTATTTGAATTCCAGCACTTTTGAACTCTCCAGTAAAGAAGCCTCTCCTTTGTATAATGCTAGTGAATGCTAAGTTATGATAGCATTTTAAATCTCAGACCACTAAGGGTTCTGAACTATACGAAATCCAATATATCTATACCTTTTATCCTTTGTCCTTGTTATCAGTTACTTCACAGCCAGTATCTAAAGGCAATGGATAAAGCCTGAATCTAATGAGTGGCTTGCTGCTCCTATATTTAATGAGTTGGTCAGGGAGTGAAGGACTGTTTAACACTTTAAGATTATCTTTCCCTGCCCTTTCATGCCACTGGGTGTGAGAGACTTCAAGATGTTGCAGTGCTTACTTGGTTTGTAAAGAAAGGGAGTGAGACTCCCTTGCCAGCCAGTGAAGGATGATGAAGTAATTCAGCAAATATGTTCCTTTGCTTTGTCAGGTTGCCATGTGGTGGTGTGGGTGGAAGTTATAGGATGTGTGCAGGCAAAGGGAGGATTTAACAACCTTGCTTGTTAAAAGTTTCTGTGCAAGAACAGTCTATTACCAGTTTACGAGTGCTGGATTAGGAAAACGATCTGTTACATATTGCAAATTATGTTCACGTTTGTAGATGTGGGAAAAGCTTTCTCTGCTGCTGCCTGTGTTGAGTGTTCCTAGGATAAAGGGAAGTGTTAACTCTGTTGTTGAAATGGGGGTTGTCAGTCTGGCACCTTTCCCCAGCACTAAATTTGCTTTTATTTAAAAATTGCAGAATGAACGAGTAAATAAATAATCTATTGAAAGTGCTTTGGTGCCTGAGCGACTCCATAGCTGAGTGGTTTTCAGATCAAATTAGCTTAGTGTACAAGTAAAAAGAGACTCTTCCTCACCTTTCTTAGTACTTCAAATTCAAAGAAAAGCTCCCCCCAAGGAAGAATCATATTGAAGTCGTTCAATAATGTGTGTTACAGAGAGACCAGCTATTCTGGGCACCACTCTATCGTGCATGCCTTGCAAAGACATGACAGCACTGCAGAGGTTAGAGATGAAAAAAATGTTTTTTACATTACTGAGTTAAAAAGTAATCTGGCATGGTAGTCTCTTGGGTTTGGCATTAAAATCTATTGCTGTTACTTCAGTGCCTAATTGGTTACTATTAAATTAAGTAGCTTCTTTCATTCCTTTTCATAAAAATGCACTGAAAAGCTAAAAGTTGGAGAATAATGTAGTTGATGCTCTGCCAGAGTTCTAATCCTCTGGGAGCTAAAGGGCGGATACATGCCCTTTTCAGCCCGACATTTGGAGATGGACTTAACCTGTGCATTCCAAAAGCAGCTGTTCCTCCCTCTCATCCCCCTCGCCACCTTCATTTAGCAATGTGTACTTGCTGCACTTCACGTTAAGGAAGGACCCCTTCTCCAGTGCTTTCATTGTCACTTGGTAAACTGACTAGTGAAAAAGGAAAGCTGCGGGGCTGCTTGTGCTACTTACATACCCCTTCTTTCCTGTGTGGCACCTCTTCAGCCTATCCAGTTTCCACTATAGTAGCTATCAAGTGCATGTCCAAAAGTTCTCTTCCAAACCTTGGCTTTTCTCAAGGTGCCATAATGTTTGGCTATATAGAGAGGCTTCAGCTTTAACTACTAAGGTTGTGATTATGTAGCGCAACAGAGACCAAGGGCCCATCTACATGGTACTGGCAAAGCACATTTGAGGGGTCTGAGTTGTAGAGCATTCTGTGTACTTGATTATAAACTAGGTATGTTTTAGTTCGTGCCAGCAGGGTCTACACAGAGCAGTCAGAGCAGTTTACAGATAACACCCCCCTCGTGTGTTTTGCTGTATTGCATAGACAACCATAAGGTCCAAGGTAAGCATTGTTCTTTGGGAACACTGGTGCATGGTTCAATAAAAGGAGCATCGTTCAGTAGCAAGCCAGCATAACAGTTGTATTACATTCTCTAAATGAGATGTTTGGCTCTTTTAGTTGCTAGGTTACTCACTGCATTTTAACTGCAGTTTTTGCAGAAGGGGTGGTGGATACTTAAGAGGTGGCTACTCAAAAGGAAAAGAAAATTGGGAGTCACTAACTGAAAGGGAATAATAAAAGGCCAGGAATGAATTAATGAGCATTTGCTTTGGTGTGCAGAAACTACTAGCTTCTCTAGCTGAATGCTTCAAGGCAGATTTTTATAGTGTTGGTTTTGGCCTAAATGACTTGGGAGAACCCTACTTTCTTTGTCCCTGTGATACACTGATATGTCTATGATCAGCAGAAAGGCTGATGCTAGATAACTCCTTTGAACTCTGGAATACTCTCCTCCCTCTGTCTGAAATAGCCTGGATTTTTAATGGTTTTTGGTACACCTGAAAGATCTGTTTGGTTCAGCTGACCTTTGAATAGACATTTAGGCTGATATATGGGGGGGTTGTGGTATTTGAAGAGCGGAAGGTGAACAGATTGATCTGTAAATGGATTTCTAATTTTAAATAAGTGGTAGGGCGTTCAGAGCCTGTTCATGGAAGCTTTTCTTTTGCTAAATTGGCAGACAGTAAATAAGTAAATAGAGCTGCTCAGTTTTCAGTAAATATGTTCTATGTAGCTAAATACATACTCTGTGCAGGATTGGCCTATTGAATGGGAAGACTCTGGCTAGGGCATTACACTTTTTCTTCCCCATCATCTTGTTAAAAGAGAGCATATCCTTGAAACTATAATTGACTTGACACTGTGCACTTGTAAATCTTTTTATAATTGTCATTTTAGTGACTTTATACAACTGCTCTTATGGCCGAAGCGACTGCAGCTTGTGTCTTGCGGCTCATCCTGACTACAACTGCGTCTGGTGTGAAGAAGAGGGCAAACCAAGCAAGTGCATTTATAAGAATCTGTGTCACGATCCTCCTACCGAGACATGTCCTCATCCAGTCATTACTCGGGTATGATCTCCTCCCTTCCCCCCTCTTTCTCCCCATGTACTGTGATTCTTTATCAAAGATACCTCTGAGAACATTGCATGCTGAAAAAGGCTTGGTCAAAGCATTTAAGTAAGCTTCTAAATTAGCTGCCAGGAGATGATATTGGCATAGTGGGTCTGCAAAGTTTGCCAAGAGAGAGATCATAGAATCCTAGGACTGGAAGAGACCTCAGGAGGTCATTGAGTCCCAGCCCCCTGCCCAAAGCAGGATCAACCCCAACCAGAGCTTTGTCAAGCTGGGACATAAAAAACTCTAGGGGTGGAGATTCCACCACCTCCATAGGTAACCCACCTCCATAGGTAACCCATTCCTTTACCTCACCATCCTCCTAGTGAAATAGTTTTTCCTAATATCCAACCTAGACCTCCCCCACTGTAACTTGAGACCATTGCTCCTTGTTCTGCCATCTGTCACTACTGAGAACAGCCTCTCCATCCTCTTTGGAACCTCTCTTCAGGAAGTTGAAGGCTGCTATCAAATCCCCCCTCACTCTTCACTTCTGCAGACTAAACAAGCACAGATCCCTCAGTCTCTCTTTGTAGGTCATGTGCTCCAGTCCCCTAATCACAATCTAGTTGAAACCATGCTAGCAGTACTTAAACATGATGGTTGGTACCATGGAGCTAGTGTAGTTCACTTGACCAGTATGGATTTATTTTTATTTGAGTTCTGTGTTACCCAAGCATGTTGTAGACCACACCTCAACAGGACTATGAATATGTTTCAAGTTGTCATCACCATTCTTCCATTCTTTATCACTAGATGAGGGAGGTCACAATATCTTTCTCTGTTGTAACATGTGTTGTAAGCTATCCCACTGCCTGCTGTGTAGTTAGTCACTGGTCTTTTGCTATACCTGTATTTCTCCTTAGTGATTCAGTTTATAGCACTGACTCTCAGCCTTCTGACTCCATAGCTGTTGACTTTCTTAGGTGGAGACCCAGGGTATGTCATTTCCCTACTGCCACTGTGTTATTCCCAGAAAAAGACAGACTGCCTCAATAGGCCTGCTTGCTTCTCTTGTGAGAGACAAGGTACCACATGATTCCTCCAGTTATGTTAGTACGTAGCCCTTTCTGAGCGAGTCTCTTTATTCTTAGGATAAAAGCATTTACAGAGAAAACATTAAAAACCATAAAAACCCAATAAAATGTAAGAGATTCCCCCTCTTCCTCAAAACTGCCTCCAGCATGGGCTCTGTCAATGTCCCTCTCCCCCCACATACACAAACACACACACACACACCCCATACCCAAAGGAATCTCTTTTGTGATCACAAAGTCATAATAACCTTAGCTCAGAGCAAGCACCCAGTTTTGCAGGATCACTCAGTAAGCTAAGTCTATCTAACCCTTCCATTCATGGAGTAGAGCTTCTTTTTATTTTCTGTATTGGGAGGAAGACTCCGAGACTACTTAAATTCAGGCTATATATTCAAAATGCAATTCTTTTTTCAGTGGATAATTCCGAGTGGGTCTTTGAACTGTTTGTCTATGACAGGTGATCAGCAGACAAAATCCTCACCCCTTCCCAGTCTCCAAGATGAAGCTTCAAAGACTGAGTCCCTGGGTGATGTTTTCAAACCCATCCTCCTCAGTACTTCCTAGGAATTCCGTTTCACACACATTGTCCCAAAAGTTCAATTGTGTCTAATGTATCATTCAACAGAGACTTAAAATTCACGTGATCTCCAAGCAATGTATTGTTCAGTATCCCAGAGAAATTGCATGTCATTCCACAATAACACATACACAGTTGCATTTGTACTAAAATGGACTTCTGATGGGTTCTCCTTCCTCTTCCTCCCTCCCCTGGAATGGGGGTACCACTTTGTCCACCAGCCTGGGTTCCCTTTAACACTGTACTGCTTTGACAAGTTTCAAAGCTCTCTCAAGCCTGCCCTTTCACCAATACAGTAGGGACACACCTAGCTACAGCATATGCAGGCAGGTTCTTTAACCAGCCCCTGTACAGGTAGGCTTCAGCTAGTGCACCTCCCAGTTGCTGAGGCACACATCCCCTCTAGGTGTTAAACCCCAAATCATACTATCTTGTGGTGCACTGGGAACTGAACTACATAAACGCATAGAATTTGCTCCCTTCCTCGCTGTAGAGAGGAATATGCAACAGTGTTCTTCCACTGAATTATGATTCCCACACACTGGTTTTAGTAAAGCAAAAACAAGTTTATTAACTACAAAAAAAATTATAAATGATAACGAACAGATCAAAAGCAGATTACCCTGCAAATGAAAAGTACAAACTAAGTTCAATACACTAAATAGATTGGATCTGAACAGCAGATTCTCACTGTAAATCAGGGGTTGGCAACCTTTCAGAATGCTGGGTATAGTGACCATATTTTCTGAGCCAGCTGCAGCTAGGGCAAATGGTTTAATTTAAATTCTCAAACTGATTAAGCATTTTAAGCGTTTTAACTTTCTTATGTTAGTTTATCAAACTTATTTAAAATAAAGTAAAATATTATGTCCAACACAAAAGGTTTCAGTATTTTCTTTATTTATGGCAGGGGTGGGAAACCTTTTTTTGTGTTGGGGGTCACTGACCCACAGGAAAAATCAGTTGGGGTCCATGCAAGTGGAAAGCAAAACTCCAAAAAAAAACCAGTCCTCACTGATGTGGCCCCCAAATGAGAAACCTCACTCCTTTGGGAAGGGGCAGGGAGGATGGAGGTTCAGGGTTGATCCACCTCACTTGGGCCTTATGAAGGTTAGTGTTCACACAAGGTTAAACTTTATCCAGACTGTTATGCAGCTGCAAAGCACCATTATTATAGGGTGCTACAGACAGGCCTCCTGTAACCTATGGCGGGAGCAGGGGGAGGAGGGAGCTGGGGCAGAGAAGAGGAACAAAGAACACTCTCCCAGAAGCAGTAATTCATCATCAATATCCATACTGGTATAAGCAAAGACATGAGAGCCCTGTTACTCCACAGAACTACAGCCAAGTTTAACACCCACTGCTATCCATTGACATAGGCATCACAAAGTTCCAATGCAGCCTCTCTTTCCTACAATCTTCCCTCTCCCCTGCCATCAGCTTCCCTTCTAGTGGGACCCTCCTTCTCCCCCCAGCAACGTCTCTCATACAGCCCTTTGCCTGAAGTTCTCCTGTCTTCCCAGCCCCTTCCCCTACAACAGATCTTCCTTCACTAGCCCTCCTGCTGTGCAGCCCCTTCTCCTATAAGGGACTCCGACCCCCCAGCTCCCATCCCAGATAGCTCCTTCCCCCAATAGAACCCTCCTGTCACTTCCCTTGTCTCAGCTGCGCTGCCCCCTGAACTCCGCTGTGCCCAGGCTCCTTACAGCACACCCCAGGCCTGGCTCTCCTGGCAGGGCCTGGCATGGCCACACACACTTTCTGTAGCCACTTCAGTGCCATGGAGGAGACATGCTCAAGCTTGGGGCTCTGGGAGGCCGCAGTGGTGGGCGGCTGCTCCCCAGCCAGGCTGGCCCAAGATCATGTCGCAGTGCCTCTGGCCTCTGGGGCTGCCCCAGAACTGTGTGGCTGGGGTGGTCAGAGGCCAGAGATGCTGCTGCCATGGCCACGTTGTCCCGGGCTGGTCCCGGAGGTGCCACCTGAGGAGCCCCCCTGTGCTGCCCCCTCCTACTCCCGTCTAACCTGCTGTGGGGAAGAGGGAGGGCTCCAGCAGCTGTGGGGGGGAGGAAGGGAGGTCTGAGCTCCTGCCCTGCATGCCATTGAAAATCGGTTTGTGTGCTGTAGGCTGTTGACCCCTCCCCTAAATGATGATACAGGTAGGTTCCATGTTCTTAAGGGGCAAGCTGGGCTTGCTTACAGTTTGGAATTCCCAGGTTTTTCATTCACAAGCCTAGGTCCAGCTCTCCCAATTCAGACTTTTTCCCTCAGGTATTTCAGTTTACTTGGTTGGGGAGTCAGTGAAGAACCAAAATGATGTCTCACACACAAACACACTCCCCTTTTATGACAGGAACCTTTTGTTTCAAAGCTTGATTTCCATTCCAATCAGTGAAAAAGTACTGACACCCCAAGATGGAGTCCAGCACTAGGTGATCTGGTCACATATCACTGTAGTGTTACAGCAGCCATTACTCAGAGGCTGCTTGTTATGTCTTCACAAAAGCTTCCAATGTGGGAGATGAGCTTCTCAAAGGCCTGTTCTCTCTAATGGCCTTTCTTCAGCCAGCTATTCAGAGTGAAAGCATATTGTCTAATGGGCATTCCCCCAGTAGAAACACATTTGAAATACAGATACATAGTCATTATTTCTAATTTTAGATACAAAAATGTTACATGCATACAAATAGGATAATCTTATTCATCAGTGACATCTCACATTAGTTATCTTGCATAAAATACATCATAACCAGTGTTCCCAGTAAGCTTAGCACTTGAGTGGCCACCCAGGAGGGAGTCAAATGCCACCCAGCTGATTAGCAGAGTGCCCACAGCACATGGATGTAAAAAATTATAGGGAACATTGATAATAACTGTCATAAACCCATCATAATAATTTCATTGTGAAGAATATGGGGTGCAGTGTCATAAGACCCCTAATGTATTAAACTTAATTCAGTAGTGTTGTTCTTAATTCCAGAAAGGTTGTCCAGGATAATCTGTGTTTCAAACTGCTCTTCCACCCTGCACTATAATTGTCAGGAGTTTGTTGAACCAGATCCAGTCACTGGATCACATCTGCTTCTGAGCCATTTGGGTCTGGATGAAGTCTAGTCACTGTTTCTAGTTCTGGGAATCCAGGGTAATTTTCAGAGCACAGACCTGTTATCTGATGCCTTTTTTTTGGCTTGGGGAAGATATTGGACTCCTTGGTTTACCCATTCTAGGTTTACCCTAAAATCAGCATCTGAGACCGCCCAAGAACTCCCCCATCCCAGAGTTACTTATACACACTCCCACAAAGCTTCACCTAGGCTGTGGGTGCTTTGGGTTTTTCAGTTATCTCCTTCAGGGACAACATGGCAAGAAATAGTCTTAACAAAGGAATTTGGTATCCACGTTGACTTTACTGGTGAAGCACTCGAGTTGCAGATTTTTTTAAATGAACAAAAATCTGAGACACATACCCTCCCTTAGTCTGAGCTCACCCCTTCTATGAAACAGTGGTTTTTACCAATGTATCAGGTTGGACTGAGTCCCTCCTGCCTTCTGCTTCCTGTAGGCTCCTATGCATAACATATTCCTATATGTAGGCTGCCTGTAACAAATCAAAACTCTGCTCTTACCCAAGCCCTCAATTTCTGCACCAGGCGTTGCAATGGTGGAGATGCATCTGCACCAGGAAGGCTTTCCCCCATCTCCCCTTGTAGAAGGAGCTTTGTTGCATGAGAATGGGCTAGTAGTTGTCATTCAAAGTTGATAGTCCCACTTGATCTCAATGATCATCCTTCAATGAAGTAATAAATGCCTTCCCCACTGGGGCAGCTGTCTGAAGTGCCGTACGGTAGGGTCCACTTCTCGAAGGTTAAAAAGCTGAAGTGCTTTCTGGAACTACTAAACAGAAACTGGTAGATTAGATGAATTATCAACATGTTGCAAAATTCAGATCGTTATTCAAATTCTGAGCTGTGGAAATACACCTCTATCACAGAGACCTTTTTCTGCCTTTCAATCACAAATATGATCAATAACTTTGCCTCCTCCTCTGATGCAGTAGGGAGGGATCACAAGTGACAGAAACATCAGTGATAGACCTCTGTGCATAATTCTTTGTGTCCCCAAGTCTATTGTACAGCTAATACGAACCTCCAAAGTAGAATTGATTATAAAACACATGCACCCAACAGGACGGATAAATGCAAATGCTCTTGAATTAGCTAGAAATGCTCCCTGAAATGGCATGATTCAACATAATAAGTCTCAGTACATTATTTTTCAGAATATCACATTTTTTAAAATGAGTGCAACAAAATTATAAACAGGATAAAAACCAGCCACAAATATTCTATGATCTGCTGGAGAGTTTCATTGTAATAAACTGTTATAAAATGATTTGTTTGCCGTGCTATAGCCATTTTGGTCCCAGGAAATTAGAGAGACTGGGTGGGTGAGGTGCCATATAAGTGTAAAAGCTTATCTCTTTCACCAAAAGAAGTTCATCCAAGATAAATATTACCTATCTACCTTGTCTCTCTTATAGAATTGTATTGCTGTTGGAGATCTGAAATCTACAAGTTTATGATTGATTCTGTACATAACTATGCATTTAATTGAGAGGTTTCTTAGACTCTCTTTTTTTAATGAGAACCACACTGAAAAAAACCTCTGTATTTTTAACAAAGAAATGTAGATTGCAAAGTGATGTGGATTTAAACCATATGTAAGAGCAACATCAATCATCACTGTAATTTTCAACTTTGCTTTCTTTCCTCTACAGATTGAACCAAAGACGGGGCCACTAACTGGTGGAATCCTTTTAACCATAATAGGATCTAATTTGGGTATAAAAGCTGGAGATGTCAAAAATATAACAGTGGCAGGGACAGAATGCATTTTCAAAGAGGAATTCTACTCTGTTTCCACCAGGTATTTGCTGATGTTTTCTGCGAGAGATTTTAGAAAAAAGATTTCTGTGTAACTATGAGGAAATATTAATGAAAAAAGGAGTAACTCAATGTACCTAAGTTGTTGGTACCAGAGTGCCCTTTAATTTTTTACATCCATCTGTGGAATGAATTTTATTATGTGCATCAATATGGAGGTGATGTGTGTCAAGGGTAGGGCCAAGGGCAGAGCTGGGTAAGATATAGCTCACAGGCCAAATCTGGCCCACCTAACAATTTGATCCAGTTTCCAAACTGCATCTAGCTGCTTGCTAGCATCATAACACTTCTGCACTCCCCTTTCCACCAGACCCCTACATCTGAGCCTATTATACACTGGAACCCCCTGCCCTGAGCCCCTCACATATCGCAACCCAAATTCCTGAACCCTCACATCCAGAAGTCTGTGGCTTGTTTAGTATCCTAACACTACATATGACCCCAACACTGCCTGGCCTGGAGCCCCCTCCCCGAGCCAGTGTCCCCTTATCCACCTCTTCCTGCATCCAGATTTCTTCCCAGAGCTTGCACCTCTCACCCCTTCCCACACTCAAATCCCTCATTCCCACCCCGGAGCCTGCACATTCTGTCTCAACCCAGCGAGGCTACAGCTAGACTGCAGGAGTTTTTCAAAATTCCGGAGATATCCCAGAAAAACTCTTCTGCATCCAGGGATGCATTTGTTCATCCACTTCTTTTAGTGGAAGAGCAAACATGATCTTTCAGTCACCCCTATATTCTTCTTTCCACAAGGAATAAGGGGGCTTCCAAAAGAAGGGGTTTTTCTGACATTTGGTCCAGTCTAGACAGGCCAAATGTTGGAAAAACTTCTTCCTGCAGAAGAATTGGGGGGAAAAGCAGCAGTATAAGGGTTGAGGATAGCAAGTGATGCAGAGGAGGAGAATAGAGAGGGCGGGGCTTCAAGGAAGGGGCTGGGCAGTAGGTCTTGGCTTAGTCTGTCATTTAAAAAGTGATCTTGGGTTTAAAAAGACTGGAGACCACTGGCCTAGAATTAGCAGCATAGCAGCCTCTGTTTGTGGCCAGTCTGGGCTGCTGTGAACAGAGGCTGGGGGCGGGGCAGCCTCCTCTGCCCCCCACCCTACTGCTGCCTCTGAGGCAGCAGCACAAGGAGGGGGCAGGCGGCGCCATGGAGATGGTGCTGGGGGAACCATCATTAATCTTTTTAAGTCGGTCCCCTCAGCACTGGCTCCTGCACCCTTCCTCTCCTTCTGATATGGGGGGAGCGAGTAGCTAACTTGAGTACCCAATAAGTCCAGGCTTATCAGGTAGTCAACTAATCAATTTGTTTTACATCCCTATCATATACCAATACAAAACTTTTTTTTTAATCCCTGTTATTCTGCCACTACTACCAGCACCACTGCATATTTTATATTATAATGACTGCTTCTCTAGTTGGCACATTTTGCAAATTCTTCTGGGGGTATCATTTCCTGTCTGTCTGACAAGATGACATCTTTCAGAGAGACAGTCAAAATTATGAGAATCTGAGTGCAGATGATAGCAGCAATCCATAAACTAAGGATTACAAGGATTTGAAGAATTTCGTCCGTGTGTCAGGATTCCAACAGATAATTCTGGAGCAATTTGCAGTGAGACTTGACAGCCTTTCTTTAGGCCCTAATTTAAGTATGTTATACTTGAAAGAGTGGTTTTCATATTTAATCCTTTCTTAATAGACAATAATACACTGTTTTAAAAATAGCAATCATCCTAAAACTGAAAAAGGAAAAACAAAAAAAGAAACCAAGAAATGCTCTGTAGTGTGCTAATTAGTCATGTGAATTTGATCTGCCAATAGCAGCCAAAAGTGACTGTCATTTAGTAGCTCCCGCACACCATTGATGGTCCCCAGCTTTGTTTCTAATGGTTAGAGCAGTAGTCCCCAATGTGGTGCCCGCGGGCGCGGTGGCGCCTGCTGATCCATTTCTGTGCACCCGCCAAGTGATCGGGGCCACTCCCAGGCGCGCGGCAAAGTGCATGGGCTGTGCCGGCCCCTGGGCGCGCGGCATAGGATTGGTGCCAGCCCCGGGCATGTGGCATATGGGAAGCCCCACCCCTGGGCGTGCGACACAGGAGCAGTGCTGGCCCCGGTGGCACTGGCACCGGGCACGCGGCGTATGGGTGGCCCTGCCCCGGGTGCTTGCGCGGCCCCACCCCCGGGTGCCCGGCGCATGAGTGGCCCTGCCCCTGGGTGCTTGGCAGCGCCAAAAGGTTGGGGACCACTGGGTTAGAGGGTGATCCTTGCACAACCACAGAGGGATGGTCTCTTCATAACAGAGTTTAAGACCTGTGAGAGATGGTGAGGAAGCTTGTGCTTCTGTTTGTGCCCATATGGTAACTAAATAAAAACTTCCATTTCTAATGCAGTTAGAGTGATGTCTTTCATGTACATTGAGGTCCACTTTTTTCAACAGATTAAATGGAGAAAGTTATAAACTTATCGACATATTTGCATTATTTCTGATTAGGATTGTGTGTCAAGTCGGAAGTGTCTCAGAATCCACAGTCGGTGAAATTGAAGTTGATATAAATGGAAAACGAAGTAGTTCAAAACCTGAAATACAATTTGCATACCAAGTAAGTGTGGTTTTTTTTATAAGTATTTCTACCTTATTCTACATTTCTTATTTTTAATTTACCATTGGGATAAACAGCAGTAATTGTACTTTGTAGACTTTATTTCAGAAACAGAAATATTAGTCTTTGCTCATTAAAGTGTGTAGGAAATCACTCAAAGGTTTTCATATGCAATAGAAATGATGATGATCCTTTTGAACACAAGCTACGGAGCTTTGAAATAGGCCACTGCTGTCTACAATTGAAATGAAGAAAACTATAGTAGGAAAGGAACATTTTTAGTGAACTTAGGTACTGTCACAGCATTGGAAAACTTAGGCATTCTTTAGGCATGGTAATTTCACTAGATTTATTCATCACTGTGTTTAGATTAGCTAGTAGTCTTAATCGGGAGCATTCATGCATAGCCACTGAAGAATAAATAATGATGCTGCACATTTTAATTTAATATTTTGTAACCAATTGTTTTGTTCAAAAGCACAGCAGGCACCGAAATAAGCAGTGCCAAAGACAGCATGATGTGCAGGCACATTAGACATGCGATTTATTTTGATTGTCACTATGTTGAAGGGAAGTCCTCAACTGTGACATAATTGCTATGCCACAGCATGGAGTTTAGTTGCAGTTGTTGCAGCTTATGGCCTTACAGGTTGGACCTTCCTTGTTGATGGATGCTGAATGAGGGAGTTTGCAAGACCACGGGAAGTCAATTCTGGCTCCCTGTTGCCTGTCTCCAGGCTTTCCCAGGGGGTGCCAGCCTCCTGGCCACACTCCTGGCTACTGGCTAAGCTCTTGGTCCCGGGCCCAGCCACTGGCTCAGGCCAGGCTGCCAGCCCTGCTCCTGGCTCCAGTCCCAGCCATCGGTCCCAGCTGCACTCCTGGTTGGGTCATCGGCCCCACTCCAGGTCCTCACTGCTAGCCCTGGATGCACTCCCGGTGACTGGTCCTGGCTGTATGCCCATCCTCTCTGCTGCTGGACTCCTAGCCAGCCCTCGCACCCAGCTGCCAGGGCATTCTGGTCCAGCGACATCCATGGTCCTGCCAGAGAGTCCCAGACCAGAGAGATCCTTCCTGTGGTTGCCTGTATTGTGTCTTTACTTGTATACATACAGTTACTAGAATATGATATGATATTGTGGAGTAATCCTGTCACCAGATTTGATAACTTAAAAATAAAGCCTATAAAACACAGCATATGAGGGTTGGGTTTTATTCCTGTTTCTCTCCTGTCCCCCTCTCCATATACAGTTTTAACTCCCATGGGAGGAATTCCAGAACAAATGTGAAAGGGAGGAGTGGGTCAAGTCTAAAATAGTACAAATGGAATTGGGTGAGGTCCTTGTAGAGAGGAGGCAAGTCAGAACTCAGTGTTTTCAGCACAGCCCCTTTTCTTGCTAGCTGTAGATCCCCTTTTTGTAAGACCATCCGTTGCCTGAAACAGCCTCCTACTTTTTACTCTGTCCTCCTCCGTATATCTCATTTTTTCATGAAACTTTCCTGCACTGATTATCATTCTCCTTCATTAGATGTCTCTGGCAGTTCCCAAACTACCTTGTTTCCTGTTTCTAGCTCAGTTATAACGTTTCAGATTTCTGGAGCAAGGACTAGATCGGGGCTTTGCAAGAAGTTATTGTTTTAGGTGGATTTTGCTGTAATTCTACCAGGCTTCTCACTATAAAGCATTCTGTGGTAGCCTGTGTGGTGACACTGGGCAGAATGAAACAGTTTATTTTTATAGGATAGTCTTAGCCATCTTCCTATGCTTCGAAGACCTTTCTTCCTATCTCCTCAGAAGGGTTCTGAGCTGCTTATCATCTCTTCTTCAGATCTGAGGGAGGAGGTGAGCAGCCTCTGCTTTTGAGTACTAAAAGGCAAAAGAGACTTTTTGACTGCTTTCCTCTTAGCTGTTGGGGTACCTTTTATACCCAGATATTAGCCAAGCAGTGTGTGTCTGAAAAGTCAAGACAGATTATGCCCCATTCTATGTGTCTGTTGGGGGCTATGCAAAGTGTGATAGAACTGAGCAAGCCGCTGCTAAGGAGCAGTGCGAATCTATTTATTGGAAAAGAAATAATACTTTGGGGACTCATCTCTCTGCCATGCCTTCCTTACAAAAACAATGCCAAGTAGCACAGACTCTGAAAGGGTAATGCTGTGTGGTTTAGCTGAGAAGCCATCCTCTAATTTGGCTTGTCTTCTATCTTTCCATGAGGAAACAGCTTCTCACAGCAGGGATAAAATTAGTTTGAATAAAATTTGTTTGTCTGTGTTACCCATATTGTACACATCTCTACAAGTGTGGAATGGTCTCTTGTGGCTTCTGACATGGCAACAAAATATCCAAGCAGACAATATAATCTGTTTATATGGTCTTAAAAGTTTCTGTTTGGGCACAGTTTGGGATCTTATTCATTGTCTGTGGGGTAGCTACTCTGCAAAAACGCTCATCAGACCTTTTTTTAGTAGAAAGAAAATAATTACATTTGCCCAACCTATTCAGTATTTCTACATGTGGAGAACAAGATTCCTCCTTTTATATAAATACAAATTCTGCTGTGATTTCTAGTCTATGTATTTCCACTGTTTCTTTCATGGATACATTAACCTGCTGCTCTTCTACTGGGAAGGATGGTAATGTGCATCTGTAATCCGCTTAGAGTACCCCAGAATGGCAGGTAGATTAAAGTTAGATGTTCAGTGATAACTTTAAAATATTTTATGGTTACAGAAGAACAGTGTAGATTATAGTAGGAAATAAATGAAATAAAAGGTAACAAAGATTGGCTCAGTTCCCCTCTGCAGCAGTCTGTTGTACATAAAGGCTTTCATTTTACGTCAATTTTTTCTAGTCTGTCTTCCCTTTTACTGCTTCCTGCAGTTGGGTCCAGTAAAATTCCTTCCATGTCTTGTGAATCACTAGCAATCTTTTCTCTTGAAACTATCAGGATCACTGCTCCGCTGAAGTCACTGAACCCTTTGGCATAAAGCAGAATCAGGCCATAGGTTAACAAAGACTTAAACATTCTCTTTCAGTTTTTAACATAGCATTCCTGTACGATGGAAATAAAATGCTCCTTCTAATTTCTCCGTGTCCAGCCTGGTCAAACATCTGGAATAATGGCAGCTCTGCTCATCTTTACCAAATGAAGTAGCAGCACCCGCAGAGCCAAAAACCAAATCTATTTTCCCTCACTTTGTCTAACTGGTGGCTTGTTGTTTTAGTATTGAATCACAGTATCAAACTACTGTACAAAGAGACTAAGAGCACTACTTTGGGGGGAACTCTCCCTCCCCCCCCAAAATCTGCACATAGCATTTTAAAATTCTGCCTATTTTATTTGTCAAAATAACCCAATATAATCACACCACTTTCCAGTTTATTTCGGTGTTTTGATTCCTCCAGGAATACAGTTAAAGGAACCCCTATGACAGCCCAGTTCCTGTTTCACTGTTTTGCTTTTGTTGGAAACCTCAGTCTAAGTGTATTACACGTGCCAGTTAGGCAAACCTTGGGTGAAATTCTGCTCCTCCAGTCTCAGATGCCTGCATCCTCTACCCCGCCCCCCCCAAGCCCAGGGATCCAGAGAAAGAAAGATGCTAATTCTGTATCCTGGGCTTGTATGGAGTTTCCTGCATGCCATCTCCTTCCTTCAGGATATGCTGAGAACCCTCCAGCTCTCCTCTCTCCCTTCCCCCTCCTCCCGCACTTCTCCCCCCGGCAATGTCTGGTGTTTGAGAGCTGGAAAGCCAGGCTCTTCTGGGTCCAGAATCCCTAGCGGTGGCCAGCAGCTCTGCAACAACAGTTGTGTGGGTAAAAACTAAATTTCTGTGCAGAACATCAATTCTGTGCAAATTCATCATTGTGCAGTTATGAAGAATTCCCCCACTAGTAGTACTTTTCATATGTACATAAGTGATGTTTACTAATTCTATACAAATAACATTATTCTTTCTCAGATTAAGGGCTCCTGTTGGCACTAGATTTGAGTCCTAATCTGCATGTCTGGCTCTCCATGGGGATGAAATGTTTGAGGATAGAAGGGTAGTAACCAAAGCAAAGGCATTTTATGCCTTGTGAACCATAGTTCAGCTACTGCAACCTAAGCAGTTGCTTTCTGTGGATATACCCTTGGTTCTTTGCACTGCATTAGTCTCGACCACTCCTTCCAGATTTCCATGATGTATTACATTATTACATGGTCATAATACTACTAGCAAAATGTAAATCATAAGCAGAACATCAAATAAAAGTAAACAAGCTACTAGGCAATATAAAGAACATGGAAGTTACCGCTTTCAGCTAAAACCGGCAAATTGGAGGATATAATGACACTAAACTTGGGACAAATAATTCAGCCAATAGACATGCGAGCCAGAGCGGACAGTGTACTGTGGCATTCCTTCAACAAAAGCTACTAAAAGATTACCATGAGGTATCAGGTATTCCGGTTGTTCAAGAAATGTTATACCTAGAAATAGGTAAAACAATGAAACAAGTAGAGCATTTGCCTCACCGAGTACCCTCTGCATAAAGAAGAAAAAATGGGAGTAGTAAGGAAAATGAGGGTGAGGAGGGAAGGCATCATTATTAGTTACAGAACCCACAAGTTGAGTAACAGGAGGCTGGTTATTGAGAAGCCAGGCAAGCTTTGTGTGCATAGATATAAACAATTTAAACTAGGCATTAAAAGGAGCTCATATCCAAGTGCCTACAATTGAAGAAATATTGCTTGACTTAGCAAAAATAAAAATATTCTCAGAACTTGATGCCAAATACAGATATTAGCAAGTGCTACTGGATAAGGAAAATCTTATCATACATTGGACACCAGCAATTGTATACAAATGACTGAGACTTTGTCTGCACTGGCAATTGAGCGTCAAAAATTTTGTCATTACACAGGTACTTCATGTCCTTCTCCTGCCCCCAGACACATGCACACAACAAAAGCGTTGCCGAAGTAAACATTAGTATAAACAATGCTGTCAGCAAGAGTACTTTCTTGCTGATAAAGCAAATGTCACTCACTTATAGAGGGGGGAAGGTTTTTGTCCACATTTTTGCAGACTGTTGACACTGCCTGGCTTTTATCGACACAGCCATGTTGCTAAAAGCTGTGTAAGTATAGACATACGCTGAGAATGGCATTGAGAACCAAATCTGCAGCAAACAATTATCAACACTGCCAATAAGATATATTTTCGCCATCGGGGCTTTTTGTGCAAAACAGTTTTTAGCTGTCTACACTGGCCCTCTTGCGCAAAAACATTTCCGGAAAAGGGCTTTTGCCCGAATGGGAATGTCAAAGCATTTGCACAAGAAGCACTGGTTTCAGACAGTAGAACGTCAGTGCTTTTGCGCAAAATCAAGCGGCCAGTGTAGACAGCTGGCAAGTTTTTGCGCAAAAGCAGTTGCTTTTGCGGAAAAACATGCCAGTCTAGACGCAGCCATGGTGCTTATTGCTGTCAAACAAGGCTAACACAGTGAACAAGAACGCCTTAATATTGAAAGTACACATTGAAACCAT